GGAAACAAAACATAACCGAATAACTTATTTTTCTAATTTTTCTTTTTAACATCCACATATACTGATATACATTCAGTATGGGACCTACTCAGCATGTTTAATCACACCGACCATATTAGTCACACACACACAACATATGCAACAAACCAGATTGTCATGAGACTCCGAACGGCGCCAACTTGATTTGGGACGTTTGTTGAAAGGGGCAACAGAAGAGGCCAGTAAAAATTACAGATAATTTTTTTAAAAATAAAATTTAGAAAATTACTGAAACATTTAAAAGAGCATTTTCAATAAATAAATTATAGGTCAGATACGTAATTTCATCCACTCCTAATGTAGCAGTGAAAGTGACTAAAAAAAAGAAAAAAAAACTACTAGCTCACAATCAATTGTCCCGTCCAATTTCAAGTAGCATTTCGAACATGGAAACAAGCAAACGTTAAAATTGCATTCATTGTACTTAAAGCAAATGAGTACAAGGAAGAAAAAAAAAAGTTTCAGATTTACGAAGAATTTTATTTTTCGATGTTATAGTGAGTAATAAATGTTTTGTTTGTTTTGTTAATTATTAGCAAAAGAGAGAAATGCGAAGCACACCATATTGTAATTCTAAGAAAATTCCATCTTAAAAATTCAAGAAATTAAAAAAGCACAAAAATGTATAAGTTAAAAAAAATAAAACAAAAACAGTTGTAGACAGAGAACGAACTGAATAAAAAAAAAAAAAAAAAACAACAGTAACACCAAGTCTATCTCTACAATCATTCTACCTATAATTAAAAGCCCAGTTTGTCAATTTTAAGAAGGTTGAGGGTCATCATAAAACTCATCATTCGGTTGGGTCAAGATGCGAGTTGACATAAAACACTAAGTAAACAGGTTACTTTGTAGGACGGGCCAAAAGGTTTTAATCGCGCACTTCTAAAACCTGACAAGGCTAAACCACTTAGTCTAGTTGTTTAAAAAGGTTAGACTTTTGTTTGTTTTAAAAAAACAAAAAAAAACAAAACAAAACAAAAAGGCAGCAACAGAAAAGCAAGGGAAAAAAATGCTTGCTTAACATTTCCGGTCAAATGGTTTTCATGAGGAGAAGGGAGGGCTAAAAAAAAAAAAAAAAATTTTTATAAAGAAATTGTCTTTTACACTTTCATTTCAGGCTGGACACTATGGATTTTATTTAGTGGAATTTTTACACAAGACCTCCAAAATCCGAAATTATTGATCAACCATCAACATGTAAATTATTGTACAAGCAAATAAAACTCAAATTAAAAAGAATTAAAAAAATCTGCTTAATAATTCGGTTGAAAAGATTTTCGAAAAAAAGTGCATATGAAAATTAATTTTATTTAGAAATTAAATATTTTGTCTAGGTGAATGTAAAGATCCCTGAACCTGATGAGTGGAGAATTTAAGAGAGTTGCAAATGGCTAGTTTTAAAATAAATTTTTAAAGTGAGCATTTCCACCTTGAATTAAATAAGTAATCTTTCTTGAAATTTGTTGTTTTTTTTCTTTGTAATAAATACTCGTCTCTTTGGGGCTTACACAAGGGACAACAACACTAAAACAGTGAAAAGAATTCTTTCTTTAATTTCAAAGCCACTTTAAAAATAAATGAAGTGTTTGCCATATTTGAAAGTTAAAAACGTAAAGAAACAATAACTAAAAAATAAAACATTAAAACACGAAATATGCAATTAGTTAATGACAACAGAAAAACAAAAAAAAAATGAATTCAACTTTAATAGTTGAACTCCAATTTGTGAGCAAATGAATTAAAACTTAATTCTTGTCTACAAGAAATTTGAAATCCTAAAATTACTACACAGTAATATCCGGCTATTAAACTTTATATTTCAAGTTTATTTATTTTAAAGTTGTAACTAAATAAAAAAAAATAAATTGTATGACGAAGTAGGAATGACAATAGTAATTAAGACAAGTAATTTTCATGGTTTTAGATAGGACTTTAAAGAACTTTTGACAAAGTTTAAGAATTTTAGTAATAAAGTCAGGAGTAAAGTCCTGTAAAATAGCTGTTCGTAGGGGACTAAAAAAAAAAAAATAAAAAAATAAAAATAAAAAAAAAATAAAATAAAAAAATAAAAAAAAATAAAAATAAAATAAAAAGTGAACAAACTGGCAGAAACAAAAAAAAAAAAATTCGTCATTAGCCTTTTTCTGTGTTAGAATGAAGAAAAAAAGAATTAATGTTATTGTTATTTTTCTAGTTAATTTCACGATCTTTACGACGTGAAGTAAGAAAAATGAATACCAAAAGGCCAAGACGATTTTTTTTCAAATCATTTGTTTTAAAATGTAAATTTAGATTAGAATATTGAAAAAAAAAAAAAAAAAAAACTAAAAAATTACACAAGCAAGTGCCCTCAACCATTTAAAGTCGAAATTAGTTAAATTAAAAAAAAAGGAGACAGAACGAACAATAACCTACATACAAACACAAGACGATATAACATAAATTAGGTGGGTGCTAACGGTCTATTCAAAGTTTCAAAGGGTCAATCAATAAGGTTTTTAGAATTTAAAATTTTTCACAAAAATGGTTAAGGTGGCTGGCAAAATAGATTTTTTTTTAATCCGAATTAAAACTGCAACTATCCGCCCACATAGGTTGCGCATTTAAGATAGACACGTTTATTATGTCGATATTTAAAAAAAAAAAAGTTGAGATTCTGATTACCAGAAAAAAAAAACTCATTAAGGCGTAAATGAGTAACTTTTTTTAATGAACTTTTGTCCCTCCTGCTAAAATGCCTTGATACCAGATATAAACTTTGTTTTTGTCCCTCAAAATAAAAGAGAAAAACGGTTTTTAGAACCTAAACGGCTTGATTTAAGAGAAAATGCAAAGAAAGAAAAAAAAAAAAAAAAAACAAAACAAAACAGGTCAACTTAAGTTAAGTTTGATGGAATTACCCTGAATTTTTAACAACTCTTCAATAAATTACAATTTTTTTTTTTTTTTTTTAAAATCTCAATTTATTTATTTATTTATTTTTTTAAAAAGTAAAAAAAATTATATATTTTTTATCTCGGTTAAAAATTAAAGTTATTTTAAAAAGTAATAAATCACAATTTATATTGGCGATGCTAAAAAAAATATTTTTAAGTGCAGAAACTAAATAAAAAAAAGAAAAATAACTGGAAAATTTTGTAAAACTTACAAGTAAAAAAAAAAAAAAAAAAAAAAAGTGGCCATTATTGTCATATTTCAAAAAGTGGTTTTTCTACAAGCAAAGTGATTATATAATTTGTCTTGTTAATACAAGACAAATTATTTTGTACACACCGTCTTTTAACTCCAAGCAAGACTTCTGTCTCTACCACAATTTGAATTTTTAGTTAAAAAAAAAAAAAAAAAAAACAATAACATCCTTTCCTTTCTTTACAAGTGATAAAAATCTTTGAACCAAAAAATTGTGTATATTGCTGTAAATTACAATATTTATAGAATTTCGGGATTTTTATTTTTTAAACCACTTAAAAGGTTGATTTTGTAATGATATTCTCAAGACTGTAGTGTAAAAAAAATAAAAATAAAAAAATAGTTGTCTCTGAAGAATTTGATTGAAGAAATTCGAACACTGAGGCAATTTTTACACTTGCTGGTGTAGGAATTATTAGTCAGTGCATGTAACTGTGTGTAAGGATATACGTTAGTCGTTATATAATTTTAAAACTATATACACCCCCTACTAAAAAGAAGAAAAAAGATTTTTATAGTTGGAGTCAAAAACTAAGTTTTCAAAAAGTAAACCGAAACATCAGTGCCATGACATTTCCAAATTCCAAGAATTGTCCAACGGGTAGTTTTCCTTTTTCATTTTTTTTAAATAAAAAATATTGTCTTCAATCTTTGAATATTTATATCAAACTCTTTAAATAAATGTTTAATAATTTGAATATACGCAAATTTACTCATGCAGAAAACATGACCTATTTTATCACAGTTACAAACTTTTTGTTTAATACACACTTTAGTTTTCTGGTACATATGGTAATGGTATGATTTTTTTTCATCGAAAAAGTCATATCCGTAACCCGAACCGTAAGTTAATAATAAAAGCAATATACAAGTAAATGAATTTCAGGATTTTTATACACTTTACTTGAGTTTACTTTTTTTTTTTTTTTTTATAAAATTTTATTTTTGAGAAAACAAAAACATAATTCGCGCCAATTTAAATACTTAAAAAAACAAACAAAAAAACATCTAATTTTTGACGCACCTGCAAAGTCTAAGTAAATTTACCAAAGAGAAACTTCACTAGTGAAGACTGCAGCTGGTCGAAAAATGGAAAACCCAAACCAAATAACATGTTAAAGTTAACGATTATTGAAGTATACACAAAAAAACTGATGACAGAGTCTTCTTGTTTCAGAGTTAAATTAAAAAAAAATTATTTGCAAATAAATATCTTTTAAAATCATACTTAAAAAAAACAAAAACAAAAAAACAAAAAAAAACGAAATTTGCATTTTTTTTTTTTTGGTTGGGGGGGGGGTGATTAAGATGAATTCACAATATGAATTAAGACATTATTTTTGACGGTTTACGAGAGCGTAATTTATTATGATGTAAAAGTAAATTTTAAAAAAAGTCAGGAATTATCTAATAATGAAAAGAACTTGTTTGTTCACGTGATCACCTTGTCATAAATCGTGCTGAAGAAAAATCGAAATTTCCTTCAGGATATAATTTTTAAAGTGTATATAAAGAAGCTTCTTACTAGTGCTACATTTTAATTCAAGCGTGCTTAATTTTCACAATTAATTATAAATATAAATTTAGGACCGCCAATTAAAGTGAAATTTGCAATATTTTTTTGAAAGGGGGTGGGTTTTAAATACTTTTAATTTTTTTTTTTTCAATAAATTAGACAATACAACAACGGGAAATCGTAAAGTTCGCTTCAGTTAATAATCTGCTTAAAATAATAGTAATAATAATAATTAAAATTTAATTGTATTTACCAAACTTAACCAACGTCTGTCTCCCTGAACATCTTCAACGCACTGGGGTTCACTCGCAGATGTTGGTTTTCCATTCGAGGTACTCATGTTTTTTTTTTTCTTTTTTTGTTTTTACTTGTCCTTGGTCGTTTTTGTTTAAATCTCCAACGTATAGATTATGTTCCGCTTTTAAATCACGTTTTCTTGTCGTGGTGCTAAATATTTGTTATTTAATTCTTTTACTGTCCGGAACTGATAGGAGAAAACGTCAAGCCGACAGCGAACAGCGCCCGGACTGAGCGCCGGAAATGTAATTCCAAGCAGCAGCGGCAACATCCCTTCTATAGGGAAATCTTGGTTACCTCCCTTGGTTAATGGCCAAACTCCCACTGTTATTTTCGATTAGGATTATTGTTTTACGTATTATTATTGAACGTAAGGATCGAACTCATTATGGAGGACAACTGACGTATTATGCGGGCAACTCAGATTGACGGATACCATACAAGTTATGTTATAGACAAAGAAATAATTTTAATTTTTTTTTCATTTCTTACATTAAGCATTAACCATTTTTTTTAGTAATAATCCTCGAACTTCATCTTGTTATTTTTTAAGACTGTCTATGGTCACACTACAGCCTTTAGCAAACAACACAAATTAGAAATAAAGAATAAATTTTGAGTGATACTCACATCTCTTTTCCTTGAGAAACCATTTTTGTCATGACAGCTGCCTTACCAATTAGGCTACAGTAACCTACCAGCTAGAGTTACTCTACCACAAAGCTACTCCTTATTTTCTCCAACCATATGATACTTCATGACTTCTTAAAATTTAGATGCACTAGTAGTATTAGTAGAGAATGTGATATATGTGTGTGTGTGTGTGCATTGGGGTACAGGGGTGACAGTCTGTTTCATGCTTAAATGCATTCTTCAAGATGGCTTGAAGATTGTGTTTAAGCATGAAACACTGTCACTTTTGGGTGTTGATCTTAATGTACACTTTCCCTACATGCAAGTCACCAATCTGCATTTACTGCATTTATAGTATTTACTTATTCCTTAATAGAATTAATTATGAATACTGCACAAATGTTTTAAAATGTTTACAGTAGATAGTTTAAAATATCTACGTTTTCACTAATAGTTTTAAATTTTTTGAGTCTGAGGCCCTCACCAACAAATTTAAGAGTTCTTTTCTCATCAGAATGATCAGAGGGAGTTTTCCAAGCTGCTGTACCTTCATAATCACCATTAGACTCATCCAACTCTTTCTGAATCTTCTGCACTCTCCTCAGATTGTCACCCAAACAATCTGAAATGTTCGTATTGGAGCTTCTGTTGCAAATATAAAGCAGTACTGCATGCCGTTTCCAAATTTATGGTGGAGTGAATTGCATCATGGTACTCTTTTTCTCACAGACTGTGCCCAACTGTCTGTACTATACTGTACAGTTGACAAAATCAAAAACAAACAACGCACATGCATGAAATTAAAAATATAAAATGGCGACAATTTACTCATCGCAACTTATATATATGTGTATACATATATATGTGTGTTTGTGTGTGTGTGTGTGTGTGTAATAGTGTGCAGCAGAAATATCTCCCACATATACCTCCCAGAAATACTTCTCACATAATGGTAAGACATTAGCTAGATGAGGACACCATTGCAACTTGCCTAAGTGCAAATGTAGGAAGTATTTCTGCCACACCCTGTAGCTGATGTTTTACCATTATGTGGGGGGTATATCTGGGAAGTATTTCTGCCACACCCTGTTTAATATAAAAAATAGTAAACTTTACATGCTCTCCTATGAGTTCTCTGTGACAGTCAATTTCTTGTGGTAATGACAAACATCAGAATTCTGTTCGTCTCTGCCCCCTGGCAATTGTGTTTCATACAAGAGAAAACTCTTAGGAGAGTATATAAATTTATTATTGTGTTATATTATATGTGCTTGCTTGATATTGTATTGTTTCATATTTTACCTTGAGTACTGTGCTTTTTTATAGCATTTGATGCAAATATTGTTATTGTATTATGATGTTCTAATTTGTTGATTTTCAATATACTTTGATTGATTTGTTTTTATAGCTTATCAATCTTTTGCATGTTATTTAAAGCCAGAAAATATTTTTGGATTTTCAAAATTTGTGGGGGCATAATAATATTTTATTGATACTACTAATTAACCCAGAGGTTTTCAAATGGTGTGGTGTGCCTCATAGGTGCAGGGGAACTGGATAGCAAGTGAGGCAGAATGATTGAAAGATAATTAAAGATTTAGAAATAATTTAAAAAATTTTTTTCTCCCCAATAGTTATGGATAGGTTTGCCTATAGTCCAGTTTACACTTCTCATCGGCCTTCTCAACAGGAGTAGAAGTTTATCCCTTGTTTCCTGTTTAGGATTGGGTTTTTAATTCTTTCTTAAGTCTACTTCAAGTTTCTACTACTAATGTCTCCATTTGAACTCTAAAATTTTATTAACTCATTTTTCTTTTCTCACTCTCCTCAACTGGAGTAGATAGATTCACCTACTGTTCACACTCCTCCTGAGTCTTTTAAACAAGAGTAGAGGTTTATCCCTTGTTCTTAAGATTGGGTTTCTAGTTCCTTCTAAAATTGGGTTTCTGGTTCCTTCTAAAATCTTTTCATTCTCTTTCACTCCCGGTAGCCTCTTGCATCTTAGTGGCATTATCACCTTGCTTGGGGTGAATTGATTAAAAAAAAATATTAGTCAGTTATGTACCATGCGTAATATATGCTTAGGTGATCATGTATCGAAAGATACATGACTGACACGGCAGATTTTTTCCTGCAGTAGGTTGACATTTCTTTCTGCAGTAGAGCAGTTGCTATCCAAGGCTATAGAACCCAGTCAGTCCTGTTATTTACCCATAGCTTGGGGGGGGGTGAGAAAGAAAAGATTCATACCTTTCCCAAGGATATTAGCATGTGAGTGAGTGTAATGGATTCGACTGGAATTTGAACTCAGCTTTCTGATTCCTCAATCCGACTCTAGACACCCATCAGTCTTATTAACAAGAAGATCAGATTTTGAATTCATAGTTGTCTTTCTCCTAGATGAGTTGCCATCCAAGGCTATAGAACCTGGTCTGTCCTGCTATTTACCCATAGCTGGGGGGGGGGCGGGAGAAGAAGAGGATTCATACTTTTCCCAAGGGTATTAGCATGTGAGTGAGTGTAATGGATTCAATTGGAATTCAAACTTGGCTCTCCAATTCCTCAATCCCAGCCACTATCGATTACTCCACTGTGCCTATACAGTATATATCCTATATAAGCATGTTAAATTGCCGCTGAAAGAGCTATCCATAAAGAGGCAAAAATTTATGTCCATAATAATTGTTGTTGAATTTGAAATAACAGGTTGGGGCATAGTCTATGTATACTGATATTGTTATCAAAAAATATTGTTAAGAGGCTCAACAGGTTCACTTTGCACTGATGCCCTTGGCAAAGATATAACCACAGATATCACAGCAAAATTCTTTTGTCATTGGTATGTTATGATAAGTGATAGAAAAGAAAGCTGTAACAACAATAACTGTAAAAATTTGTTATGCCCATTGTCAACCTTGACAGATGATAAGAGGATAATAAGGTTGGATTGTATAATAAAGAATTAATGGACTTTTAAGTGTTATAGATTTCTTCTTTTTGTTCTTTTTTTGTGCCATGTCATTTCAGAATGTGGATGATCATTGCCCTTCACAACTTCCCTTCCTTTATAGCTCTTAGCAATGTTTGTTTTTTTGCTATACTTCCCTACTTATCTGGCACATGTCAGCAGGTATCACAAGGCTCTGCTGAAGGTCAGAGACTTGTCTCGGGAAACTGACTGTTTTTACATGGTCTATAGGGAATTTTTGCCCGAGCTTACGGGCTCAGATACCCCACTTTAAACTTGGCCTTGTGCCACATCTTGCTGCGTGGGGCAGCAGGTAAATAATTATACTTCCCACTCTTTGTTCTGTCATTTATACAAGCTTGTCAAGTAAGTTACTGACTCTTTCTGTCTGCCTTGTCCTGTAAGTGGCAAGTTCTCCAAGCCCTCTTTCCTCATTGTGTGTCCCAAAAATTCCAACTGTCTTTGATTTTAAGTATCAGTGTCCTTTTTTTTTCCATTTTCCTTAAAATTTCCTCATTGATCACATGCTTTGTTGGCCATATTCTGTAGAATTGCATTTTTGTTGCCTCAACTGCATTTCTGCCATTGATCCGACCATTGACATCCATGCCAAAGATGGTAATATCTCAGTTATTATGTTAACCACAGTCATCCCAGTAAATCAACATTATTATTTTTGCATATTCATCTCAGAAGTGTCTGGTGTTTTTTTTTCTGGGTATCAAGTGACAACAAGTCACCACAATCTCCAACTCATTTTCTTAGGATTCTTGCCAACCCAACCTTATAGTATTCTAGATATTCCCACCATTTTGTCAAATTTCGAGTTTCTCTAGTTGTTATTCTTTTGGTTCGCCCGGCCGATTTTTCGGCTGGGGTTTTTGACAAATATTGGATCGTTTCTTGACCTATGGCTGAGATTCGATCAAGGCTTTGACTAGCTTGAACTGGCTCCGGCCTGGACCTGTTAGGATAAGTCATGACCAGCTTTGACTAGGCTCTGACCAGCTTGGACAAGCTATGACCAATTTTGACCAGTGGCCTTTGAGTGGAAACACTCGGGTCTCCCACGTTAATCGACCTTGTGTCACATCTTGATTTTGTGGGAATCAAGTAAATACCATTCTTTTGGTTCGCAGGTTACTGTGAACATACAACCAGGTCTCTTGGGTAGCTTGCAATAATATGCCTCTATAGAACACCAATAAAATAATTGTAGAAAACTGCAGTAGATTCAAATTATATTAATAAAAATGAATTTTTTTTTTTGCTATACTTCCGACTTCTTGTTCTGCCATTTATACAAGTTTGTTAGGTAAGTTACTCACTTTTTTCCTCACCTCTCTTGTTTTGTCCTGTGAGTGGCAAATTTTCCAAGCCCTCTTTCTTTATTGTGTGTTCCAGAAATTTCAGCTGTATCTGATTCTAAGTATGAGTGTCCT